CAACCGAATTCTTTCTAGCATAGTCAAAACAGGCTTGTCTCTAGCATCCATTATGCTACAGTTGAATGCCTCACATAGGTTGTTCATAAGCATGTCACACTTGGAATCACTCTTGAAATACGCCACTCCAATGCCTAGGATCTTTCTCTGCAAGCCAATCATGTGTAGGTTTAGACAACTCCAACATCTTTCTCATTTCTCATGGCACTGTTATGGCCCTAGCAATTGCTTCCATTTGATGTTTCAAAGCAAGACCTCTATGTTCCAAATAGAAGTTTCCATATAGATGTTTCAAACAATGTCTATGCTCTGCATGAGGGAATAAAGCATTCGTAGCATCTATTAACCCTTTTTGTTTGTCAGTCATAAATACATAGCCATGACTATTCATAATATTAAGATCACCACTCAATAATTCTAAAAACCACAGCCACGTTGAATTGCTCTCAATCTCTACATATGCATAGGCAAGTGGAAACATTCTGTTGTTTGCATCAACTCCCATTGCAGAAAGCACTTGCCCAGGCTAAGGCCCTTTGACATAACACCCATTCAAGCAAACCACAGGTTTACAACCATCTAAAAACCCTTTCTTGCAGGCTGCAAAACAGATGTAAATCCTTTGAAACCGTGGCCTATCACCTTCCATTTCAGATTTAATGATAACTGTACTTCCTATATTTTTGGTTCTTAACTCATGACAATAATCCCACAATACTTCATATTGTTTACTGTAAGACCCCTCTACAATGTCAAATGCCATGGCTTTTGCTCTGTACACAATTGCTCTAGATAGTCTATAACCATATTCTTGGTGAACTTGCTCTGTAAAAGAAGAAGCAGTCCAATTTGGATTAAGCCTTAACTGCCCAGAATATCTTTCAGCCAACCAACCAGCAGTGGCATGTATATTTTTAGTCTCATTACTACAAACATGTGTAGGATTAAAGGTTTTCACCAGCAGGTAAGTGCTACCACTAACACTTGAAGCATGGATAACAAAAGAACAACCCTCTTCACATACTACTCTTATTTTGTTATGGTCATTATTCATAAATATCAACTCCCTTCCACAATTAATGGAGTATATCCTCACAACTTTTCTAAACAACTCGGCAGTTACAAACTTTAAACCTATTTTGAAACCTGGGTTTGCCATATCAATTTCAGGTTTGAAATCTTCTCCTTTTGGCATTCTATTCTTCTTCCTTCTTAGTTCACCTACTGCATCATCTTCACTTGAAGAGCTATTTGGGAAGGTAAGTGTAGGTGACTCTTCTCCATTGTCTGACTCATCATTTTCCTCTGCATTAGGATCATTGTCAATGCAACTATGATCCACATAACCTTCAAACCACTTATCATCCTTCTTCAATAAGTCAATCTTTTCATCACTCTATGCATAGTCACTGTCTTCAAAGTCTGGATCATTGATATCATCATCCTCAGAACAAGAATATTCTTGATCACTGCTATCATTCTCCACTTGGCTTAAAGTCAGGCTCACTACTTTCAAGTACAAAACTATCACCTTGCTATTGCTTTTAGGTACCGTGCTCATACAAGCTAAAAGCGTACTATCTGATATTATTTGAATGAGTCTACCAGTTCCAAACTCTTCACCATAAAAACTCACATCATACCCATCGTCATATCCCAAATCTTTAGCCATTCCAAATAGCTCTAACATGGACATATAGTCAACCTCACAATAATCAAACCAACTGACTTCACCATATAAATAAGACCATTCGCTATTCTGTCTATTTTTAACTAGTTTACTTCCATGGAAAAACTTAAATGTGACAACCTTATTAGCATCTTTATCTGTGTAAGAGGAAGATTCACTTAACAAATGGACAAAGGTAACAAAGACAAAACAAGGACCACACAAGGACAATACAAGGAACACACAAGGGCCACACAATGACCACATAAGGTGTATTGGGGCCAGCACAAAGTGAAAAAGTATATGAAAAAACAAAAAAAACAAAAACTCCAGCAACACATCAGACTAGGACACGTAAGGACCACACAATGACCACACCAGGACCAGCACAGAGTCAAAAAGTATACAAAAAACAAAAAAAAACCCTAACAACAATTTAATGCACATGCCAAAATCAAGAAAATTGAGTGAGAATAAGTCCACTTACATCTCTGATAGAGATGGAGCCCACCAATACAATGGGCCTCATCTTTATTAAAGATGTGGTACACAATGTGGTATAAAAATATGATAAACCTAGTATTTTCCTTTATAAAAAAAAAAAAAAAAGCCTTTAATATATTTACCTTCACATATTCTTCCTAGACATGATCTTCATCTACACTTATCATCTTTTTTGTTGAATCCCAACTGAATCCACTTTGACTTAATATGTCACTCACTACTCCATAAACTTTTTCCATAACTTAACACTATTTCTAATATTATCAGCACTTATCTGGAGATTAAATTGTGCAGCTAATATATTTGCAGGAGTATTGTAAGCAACTGCCTTCCATCCACCATCGTTTTTGTGACCTAAGTTGCGCTCCTCACGAAATATATCAGCTAATTCAGGTTCCATAGCTATATTCAACCGAAAATAGTTTTTGTCTTCTCCTTTAGGTTCAACTCCTTATTTGTCTTTCCTTTTCCTGACTTTCCTTTGCAAACCTCTTTTCCTCCAAATTCATTCATGACTTTAGCCCCGGCTTGTTCACTTTTGCACGTTTAAAATACAATTAGAAAGAAAATGAAGTAGAGAATCTCAACTATGGACATCAGTAAGCATGACAACATGTGATAGAATAGTTAAGTACTTATAGAAACAAATAACTTAAGAAGTAATGATCATTCTGATTAACTTTTTCAACAAAAAAAAAAAACAACCATGAAATACACGAAACAAGAGAAAGAAAGATCCAAGTGTGAACAATAAATCAAGAATTAATGATGCCTCATTGCACTTGATAATTATGGAACATCTCTAATGCCAATGTGTCGCGAAAGTTTGTCTATTGATCAGTAACTTGAACACTTGCAATCCTATCATGAGCATTATTTGAATTTCCCTCCAATGTTGAATGATTTGATATGTCAGGATCCATAAAAGCTAAAAATTCCAAATCTTGAACTTCTAAAACAGGATCATCAACTTGAGCAGTTTGAATAAAGTTATGCAATATAAAGCATGCATTTATGATTCTAACTTGCGTTTTGATGTTGAAAAATGAAAGTGTATGTAATATACTCCATTGTTTCTTCAATAGCCCAAATGCTCTTTCAACTACATTTCTTGCAATTGAATGACGTAGATTAAATAACTATTTGTAATTTTCAGGTCGATTGTTCCCACTCCATTCACTCAAGTGATATCTAGTTCCTCTATATGGTGCTAAAAAGCCCGGTCCATTAGTATAACATCATCCACAAGATGGTACTTATCTACAATACGGAATTTTAAAAAGAAAATTAGATATAAAGAGCTTGTATTGGAAAAAAAGAAGAAGAAAAGAATATCAATCTAATTCAAAACAAGTATTAAAAATTACCACTTGCGACATGAAATTGGTTGTTCCTATGTAAATCATCTCACAATATACAAGCATCAGATGCGGAGCCCTCCCATCCAGCTAATACATAATTAAATCTTAAATCAGGAGCACAAACCCCTAAAACATTAGTTGAGAGATCGCCCTTCCTATTTCGATATTGTGGTCTTTCTTCCGCCGACACTGTTATAGGAATGTGAGTTCCATCAAGTGCTCCAAGACAATTCTAAACATGAAATATAAAAAAGTATCAGTATGAATTAAACTTGGGAATTTGATGCCTCAATTTCCATGATTTTTTCCGCGCCTTATTTAATAAATTCCACGCTTAAGTTGCCAAAAAAGGGAATTGTCAATTTTTTATATTAAATTCCCGATTTTTAACTAAATTCCAAGTTATTTTCCTCATCCAAACGGAGTGTTAGAGCACTTCCATCAGTTAGTCCACCCCAGGCAAAAGGCCCTCTAGGCCTCCAAAAGTGGCCCTAGCAAGACATAGGGTCCACCAACCCCGAGCAAGGCCCAAGGCAAGATCAGTTCGAGCTCCTACCATAGGGCGATGACGTCAACAAACAAAAGTAATTTTTTTACCGTTGGCACGTGACGTACACATGAGGCATGAGCGCGTCACACCCGCTAATGGTTAAAAAAAAAAATTGAATTTTTTTTCAATGGCATCAGCGCCTGTTTTCCTCCAACGGCAAGAAGCCACATGGCACAACCTGGGGCATCCGATCAATTTCTTTCCTCCATCCAATGGCTGCCAATTTTTATGTAATAAAAAAATTTGGAAAAAATACCAAAAAATTCTGATTTATAAATACCCACCACTATTATTTACTTTCCACACCAAACATTCATAAAAATTATTCTCCCATCTTTGTTTTCTACTACTAAATTTCATTTGTGTAAAAAAACAAATGACCTCTTATATCGAAGTCAAAGGCACGTGTACAACCATGGAAGATGTTTTGTTATGTGAGTGTTAAGTCCAAGTTGGTCATTGCCCGTGAAGTTCTCTTATATGTGTAAATTCATGAAGTTCTCTTTTACCTGAAATTTTTATCCGAAATTTAAGATGTGAATTTTATAATTAATATATATGGACACGTGACAACCGAAAATCTTATCAAAAAGTATAAATAAAATTAATCTCATGTGAATAGTGTTGCCTTTGGGTTACCATGGCAATGAGTGGAAAAATATATATATATATATATATATATATGTCATGGCAGACACTATTCACATGAATAGTAACAACACTTGCTTGCCTTTGCCCTTTGCCATGGCAAATGAAATGTGTCCTTTTTTTTTTGGGTCGAACCTGGTAAATAAGATGTGAGTGAAGTCAGTGATGCTACTCGCTTCTAAAGCATCTCTTTTCTTCCCCGGCACTCGACCTTTTTTTCTTGGCCAGTGCCTGTACTCTCACTTCAAGAAAGAGGACAAGGGTGAAATAATATAGAAGAGAAACTGCTTAGCCAAAAAAGCAAAACTTATTTTGCATTATAGTGGGATTATAGTCTACCGATTCCTAAAAAGTAAAACAAGCACTAGGGTCTACCCTATATCCTCTGAGAGGTCGGTAAAGTCAGTGATGCTCCTTGACTGGGAAATTCATCCATCGAAACCATCGAGTTTTGAGGGAACATCCTCTGAGGTGCACCCGGAATATATAATCTCTCGGATGTTGGTGACATACCAGGATTTCTCTGAACCAATGGAGACATATATAATCTTTCCGAGGTGGAAGGAACAGCATCGGCACGTTGAGAGGCCACAGCCAAGTCGTCATTCCTTTGAGATGCTGTGGACATGTATATCCTCTCCGAAGTTGGATGTAGAGTAATATCAGTTCTCTGAGATGTTGAACCCATGTGGTCATGCCGATGAGATGTTTCAGGCATGTATAGCCTCTCAGATGTTGAAAACATGGTGGTGTCATTCCTTTGAAATGTTTGGCCCATACTGTCATTCAGGTGAGATCCTGCCAGCATGCATACCCTCTCCGAAGCTGGATGTAGTGTTGTATCCATTCTTTGAGATGTTGCACTTATCCCGTCATTTCTGTGTGAAATCGGAACCATGTTTTCATGAGAGGCAGGCACATATACCCTCCCAGAAGTCAATGCCATAGAAGTATCAGTCCTTTGAGATGTCAGTGCCTTGTTGCCATTCCTTTGAGATGTAGGCACATGATTCCTTTCAGAACTTGGAATATTTTGAGTCCTTTGAGATGCTGGTATTGAGGTTTCCATCCAATGAGAAGTTTGAGGCATATTCTCAGTCCTTCTAGGTGTTAGTCTTGACGCTTCCATCCAACGAGATGTTTGAGGCATATACATCCTCTCTGAACTCTGGGTCGGTCTCATTGACACACCTTGACTTGGTATATCTCTTTCTGGTTCTGGATGCGTAGCTAGTGAGATCTCTGCACTGGATAGATCTCTCTCAGATGTTGCTGGCCTGACAAGGGGCACTCCTTGACTAGACAAATTCCTGTAAGCAGTTGGAGACACGGATAAGACTCCTGGGTTCGGTAGATCTGCCTCAGACGTGGGAGTGATGGACAGTGGAGCTCCATGACTTGGTGAATCACTCTCAGATTCTGGGTGCATGTCTGGTGACACTCTTTGGCTAGGTGAATCTCTCTCAGATGTTGAAGGCAAAGCTGAAGACACGCCTCTACCGGTCAGATCTGTCTCAGATGATGGAGGCAGAGGTAGCGACACTTCTAAGCTAGGTAAATCCTTCCACTGCTGCGCAACCGTCTTGATCTGGGTGTAAAATTGCACACCTGCCTTACCTACAATTTTGAATGGTAACTGCAGTTATGGAAAAGGTTCAACCATCCTCAACCTGTGTGTATGTGTGTGTGTGTGTGTGTGTGTGTGAGAGAGAGAGAGAGAGAGAGAGAGAAGTTATACGACAAAAATTGAGATCGCTACCAAAAGATGCCTTAGATCCATCAAATGAAGAAAATGGCAATGGAATTGGAACAGGGACATTGATTCCAACCTGAGATATGTCAAATCCGTGTCAGTTAGTAAAATGCAAGTCACACCATAAATTAGAAAATGCCTACCAGATGAGAGCATTTAATTCCAGTGAAGATTCCATGAAATTACTAAAAGAAACATATTTATTCAACCAGCATACTTTCAGTTCAAACTTCTCATCCCCTCCCTGGAGCCAACATGGTTCCCTATACTTCTATTAATATGTATGAAAACCCCACATGTATGCTGGCATAAAAAATTGTAACATCTAGCCCACAGAGAATTATAGGAGGAACGTCATGAAGCATCACCCCATAAGTTCTCATAACCTGCATGATAGAAGAAAGAGTTGGCTTACCAGCCCTGCCTCAACTTCATTCTGGAACTTCCTTGCAGCAATGCCGGATGTTGTGAATATGGAAGCTCCGTTACCATACCTAAGGAATCGTAAAACAAGATATAAAACTGATAATTGTAAGTGCCTATATTTCAAACGAAAAGCCTGTTTCAAGAAGTTGCAATTGATGCCAGAATTTTGCGGGGAAAAAAAATTGAAAACATTATATTAAAATAAAAAAACAAGAAGTAACTATGTTTCTCATAAGTTGCATCCATAACCAAATAATGAGAGTCTTCATTTCACGACTTTAATGGATCTTGGAAACAAAAGAAAGCAGGACAGCGAGTACCTGTTTCTGTTTATAATTGATATGGCCTCTTCTAGGCTGGCAGCCTGTTGGTCATCAAAAACAGAAAGTTTCGTAACCAATCTACAACTTGTAGCAAACTCACACAAATATGAGAGTGGACAAGTGAGAGAGAGAGAGAGAGAGAGAGAGAGAGAGAAAGTACCTGCATGCAAAGAAGAACTGGTCCAAAAATTTCTTCCTGCCCAACACAAGATACAATGCTGTCAAGAATATGCCAATCTCTTTGGTTTCAACTCTTCTTCCACTGAGAATCATAATTAACCAAGTCCATTTATTCCGAAGACATAGAAGAACTGGGAACATGAAAAGATTACCTTAAAGCAATCCATGTTGGTTGTAACATCACATAAGATTGTAGGACCTATAAAATTTCCATTCTCATATCCTGGAACCTACAAAGTCGTGTTTGAAAAATTCAGAGAAAGTTTCTAGAAAGCAAGCTCCTTACACACGCTCAGCATGTGACATATAGAACACTACATGCTCCTTCATTGTTACCATGAGATCGGTGATAAAATGATACTTTATCAGCAAAAGATAATATAAGATACATATTAACATGAAAGAATATAAGAATATGGAAAAAAGCAGAAAACTGCTAACGGAGAAGCCATGCTACAAAAAGGGAAGGAAAGTAATCCGTAAAGTACATCAACAATCAGCATTGTTGTCACTAAACATAGAGTGCATGATTGCATGCATATTTTGAAGAACTTTCAAGATACAGCAAAACTATGCATGAATCATGATTTGCTCATAAAATAGAACAAATTAATGTATTTTATTGCCAGCACCTTAAAAAAACAAAAATATATATTCTTATATTTCTCTTAATTTGATCTGTAAAATTATTAAAAGCCACCACGGGGGAGCAACCAAACTACACAAGCATACAAGAAATAACCACCCAAAGCTAAGGATTCTAAAATCAGGATAGAAGAAAATAGGTGAGGATAGAATATGCCATCCATGGAGCTAAAAATTATCCTTCCTTGATATGGTCACGTCAAGAGAAATTACCTAAGTCATATTCCCCAAACAGTGTAGCCAAAAGAAAATTTCAAAAAACACCTCCCAGAGTTTTGGTAATATACTGAAATTAACATGTTTTTCAATTTGTGTTTATGCATGTGCACATGTGTAAAGCATTTCTTCATAGCAAGAATTGATTTATCTCATCTTATCTGATATCAAATACGTACCCTAACATTTCTCCCATCAAGCAGAAGTCTAGCACCACTTTCAACACTGCTCTGAACTAATCTGCAAATGCAATCCTTCACCTGTGAATTTAGAAACCTTGTGAAAAACTAAAAAAAAAACTGCATTAAGCATATCATCTAAATAGGTTATACAACATGTTTCCATGAGAAATTTGAAGGATCTTTTAGTAGGAAACTTAATTTATAGATGAAAGAACAAAATTACAAAAAGATATGGACATGTGTTCCACCTATTGCAAGAACAACAAAAGGCACAAAACAAGCAAAGTCACACTCAATACAAAACCCGAGCCCAATCAAGGTGAACTACACTAAACAGAACATCTCTAAAGTGCTTAGACAAAGGCATCAACAAAAGGAGGCCAGAAATTTAATTGTTCTCAAACAAAATTCAGTTCCTCTTCCCCATCCTAAAAATTCTTCTATTCCTCTCCTGATACACAACCCAAATAGAACCTAGTACTCCATAGAGCAAAGATTGCAACTCTCTTATTAGCCCCCATCCCAAACATCCCTAAAAATTCCTCGATCAACAGAGAATAGCAATCTCTTGGAACTAGAAAGACCCACTTCAGGCCAAAAGCTAGCTCCTAACAAGACACAGAAACTAAGCTTTCCAATTAGTTCCTTTTTTATAAAGAAAAAAGGCAGACAACGCAGAAGGATGTATTCACCTCTTTTGTAATAACTGGGCCAAGGTCTGCACTGGGATCTGTTCCTACATTCACTTTAAGGGCTCTGACATGCTCCAAAATTTCGCTTTCCCTGTAAAACATAAATATATTATCAAATATATTATTATATCAAAAAGATGGACAATCAAACCGATTTCTCGATTCAATAGAAGCCCAAAGAGGTGAATAGGGTCCCATCCCAAATAACGACCACCAAGTTTAGTTGAAAACTAACTTGCTACCTATGCAAAGCACAGGTCAAATAATAGTTTTTTAAGCCAAAACAAATATTGTTAAGTTTATGACAAAATAGAAATACTTTTATAGTTCACATAATAAAAAACAGTTTAAAAATCTAACATGTAAAATAAAAGGAAAATTAATATCAACCCTGCACTACTGACATTCTAAACTTGGTCAGTCTTAATTTGGCTACTCTTTCCAATTTACACTAACCCATGAGAAGACTTGGTAGAAACTTTAACCCTTCCCATTAATATGTTAACTAATATGGGAAGCCCAACAGGCAAAAGTAAGAACCACACAGATCACATCTCTTTTAGTACCATAGATGGACACGTCACTTGTTTAACAAATTTAGCCCAAATGCAACATTGGATGAGCATTAATGTAAATACAAAATCAGATCCAACTGTTAGATGTGAGCTAATATATAAATTACAAATAGATAAAGAATGAGTAATAATAACCACAAGTTGCAAAGGATAAACAAGAAAGTATCTCAAAGTTGTAGGCAAACTCGAGTAGTTACGGACTAAAGACACAACTAAGTTGAGCAGTACATGTTCCAGTAACATTCAAACTTCGAAGAAGAATATAGGCATGTAACTCCTACTATTAGATGCAGTGAACTCAGTAGATGGGAAGATACCAAAAAGAAAAGAAAGGAATGAAACATTATCAGATCAAACAAACATAATGCATTACCATGGCCTTGAACCTCCAACAAAAACAGCTGTATTGAGAGTCATACACCTTTGTCCTGCAGCACCAAAGCCAGCAGTAACCAGAGCATTCAAAGTAGCATCCATGCTAGCATCAGGCATGATGATTGCATGATTTTTTCCTCCTATATTAGACTAGGGAGTTCACAGAATCACCAGTTAGAAAGCAAATTTAGTTAAAAAGAAAATGCCGATTGTGTGTGCGGTTGGGTGGGTAAGTGAGAGAGAGAGAGAGAGAGAGAGAGAGAGAGAGAGAGAGAGAGAGAGAGAGTTCACCTGAACACGTTTTCCCCTAGCAACTGCCCTCGCATATATGTGCATCCAAGCCTTCACAGTATATGAACAAGAGAGAGTAGATATAAAAAGGAAATTAAACACGTAAGAGTAGAATGGCATATACTCTCATATATTTGAAGTCCAAAGTTAAACATATGTGCTATGACAACCTATTGCAGAGGAAAAAACTAACTACACTTACTCAGATTTATGAGCTCTACTATCAGTTTAATGATTTAATTTCATACCCATGAACTATTGATGCAGAGGCCTCCAAAAGGTTTATTAAAGCCTCTCTCTTGTCCACAAACTGTGAAGGCAGTGAGCTTAAAGTGTTTTTAAGGGCCGGGATTAAAGGGTTATTTTCATATCAATGGCTAGGGCTGGAAGGTCCCCAATATATGTGTTTCTCATTATGAGCCTTTGAAAAAAAAAATTGACAGAACATATAATCAGAT